ATTCATCATCCTCGTCATTCAGCATATATTCCATTGGTACATCTAAGATTTCGTCATCCTTTGCTGGTACCTTTAATAAATATGTATTATTTTTTTTTAATATGCAATGAGCAAAAAAAAATATATATATATATTGGCTGTTGAATTTTGTGATTTGAATATTCTACACTACCATTTTTATAATAGAATATTCCAAATTAAAAATCTAAAAATAAATTTAAAGCTAAATGAAAAATTTTATTAATTATTTCCATTTTTTGTTAAGTTTTATACTTTCTTGATTATTTATTGTCTTAAAAAATTATTTCTATTAATTTCTAAACATTTTATTAAGGAATAATTCTTAAATTATTTACTTCTATCACTTTTTGATACATCACAAGTATTAATATGCATATAAAACATTTAAGGTTCTTATTAATAAAAAGTCTACATTAAATTTTAGAATATTTTATAAATATAATTCTACATCTAATGTTAGAATATTTAAATTCTTCCCCTCCCATGTTATTTACAGGAATGTAATTTTTCCACTTTAGAGACTAAATAAAAATAAGCCACTATTTAGCCACTTTAATTGTAAATATCAACTTATCGCAATTTTTTAAGGTGTATGCGGTAAGAAGAAAAAATGTATTTATTCTATATAAAAATTGATATTAATTGGTTAATTTCCATGTAAAAATATATTATCAATGTGCAACTAATACTCACGTTTTCTTTTCTTCTTAGAAATTTTAATAAATTTTCTGCTTCTTAACAAATATACTAGCACCTACAAATAAAGCTACTTGTAGCTTCAACCTCAGCATTTGTACTGTTTCTTTTTTAGAAAGAATGTATTTATATAAATAATATCTTTTTATGATAAAGGATTTTGTGCTTTCTCTATATTACAGATATATTTTACTAAATTGATTATAAAAATTTAGCTGTACAAAATATATCCAATTTAAGCAAAAATATAGAAAATTTTGTTATATAAAAAGAAATTTTCTCATGCAAAAATTTGTTACAGTATTTATGAATAAATACATATATATTGACTTATTGTGATAAAGACAATTCATACTAAATGTTCTCAAAATAAAGATAAAAAGATAGGAAAACCAATTAATATCCAACATAAATTCTATTGCGAGAATTCTTCACGAGTCTACGATATACATTCTACCATATTTGTTTTCTCTATATAAACGAAACTTACCTCTACAATACCAGTGGATAATGCATATCCTGCCATTGCTATTGTAGCAGCAAGCGCAGCAAGGATCTGATTTCTTCTTTTATTGGGAAATTCAGTTTCAGAATCTCTTCTTAATCTCTCAGTATTTTTTTCAGCCTTCTGCTTCTCATAAGTCTGATATTCTTCTTCAAAATACCTCTGTGATATACGCGACACATATTTCTCTAAATTTGTACAGGCTTTTAGATGATTTTGTAAGGCTGGATTTGGTAATGGAGCCTTGAGCAATGGTGCCAGATATGAGTATATAATGGCATCTATTGTGCTAGGCTGCTGTCCACAAAAGAAATCTCTATCTCCAAGCCTTATAGATAATAATGTTAAACATTTTTGTGCTTCCGAATACACCTGTTGTTACATAGATGCTTAAAGTTAATCAAAATAAGTTTTTTTTTGCATTTAAACATTACATTTTCTCTCGTTATGTAAATATCTTCCTATGCATTTAATATATTTTAAATTATTCTGCATGTTATACCTCATTTTCTATAACATTTATATTATCTTCCAGAGGATATAAATTTTGCATCAAAGCATGTGCTTGCCGCTCAAATTTTCCTGGGTAATAGAAATTGAACGGAAAAGGCAGCGCTTTGCAGTACCACGGTCTAATTAATTCATCTAGATTTTTCTTATCTATCCACCTAAAAATAATTTAAACGATATATCTTATGTTATATGTGCTATAATTACAAAAGTTATGATCTTACTCTAATTATACTAAAATGTACTTGCTAATGTGAAGCTATTAACATTTGTACAAAACCAGAGGACTAGACAAACATATATGCAATGACTAGAATAATATGCATCTCATGTTTAAAGATGTTTTGATATTACTATTTGAGACAAATTCATAATTCATTTATCTTATTATTATTATTATTATTATTATTTAGATACAAATTACTAGCCATTTGTAATTATGAATTTTGCTTTGCATATTAAAAAATCAGCTTTTCTTAAATAGTATTTGAAAGCCTTTCTTAATAATTTCTTTTCTTAATAATACTTAAAGTGCTAGAAAAATTCTGTAGAATTTAATGAACTAATATTTTAAATATAAACATTAAATATAAACAATAATTTTAAATTTTGAAGATCAATTTCTCAGAAAAATTTTCAACAACAACAAGGATGAATAAATAAGTTATTTTTTAATAGATTTAATTAGATTTTCAATAGAACTACAAATTTCTCAGTCTTTCTGTTATGAATAAATTAATTTTAATAACATTGAAATTTCATAAGCAATGAGTTGCATTTTGTTCTAATATGCGTTTCTATACCTCATACCATATAAATTGGAAGGCTGGATACAACTTTTCCTTAAGCAGAGCATCATAAGCCATGACGTCTGCGCATTGCTTATCATTTAAAGTATAGTCAGAATTATAATGTTTCGCTCTAAAAAAGGGCAATATATCTTTAACTGTATCCAAAGTATGTAGACCAGTCTTAAGCAAAGGTAATCGACCGTTTGGTGTTCTAAACGGATTGCTTGCTAGATTTATTTTTAAAGGTACCCCACTGAATTTAGCATATGCCTACAAATAACATGATACTGTATTAGGAAATGAATCACAACCTGTTATATCATCAGGATGTTATAATACATTATTATTAAATAAATTAAGACATGAATAAATTAATAGACATTGAGTTTTCAATAATAAAATAATTATAATTTCTGATAGAGAATATACAGATTATTATGATTTGGAAGGCTATTTAACACTCAGCTTTCAACAAGTCAACTTAGATATAATGAAGCAGATAGGTATGTATTTTACCAGATAGATATATATTTCATGTCTTTTTGGTTTTCATTTTATTAGTATCATATCCAGCTAATACTTTACATATCCTGATATCTCTACACACATTTTATTATTATTCTAATACATTTCTAAGGCAGCAAGTACCTTTTCAATGATTTCTTTGATCAACCATAATATTACAAATTTTTGTAATATTATTAATATTATTAAATAAATTTCGAATGAAAATTCTGTTAAAATTCAATAAAAATTCTCCAGGGAATATCGCTCTGTCATCTGCTTCCTCTTTAAAGATAAAATTCGCCAAGAGTCTTTTATTTTCAATTAGGATAATCGCTGCAGATGCTCTGACGTTTTTCAAAGATTCTTGTTGGCCGAAGAATCCACGCTACATGGAAATATACTAGACATTTCTCGCACGTGTCGCACTTGGCGAATTCTATGAATAGGAGAAAAAGGGGGCTGCCGAAATTAATCAGCGTGCGCGTGCTATAACCTATATTCATTGACTCGACGTACCAGAACTTGCAAACATTCCACGTCGACCGACGGCAAGCCCCAGTCGCCCTTCCACACGTCCAGCTGTAGCACTTCGGCGTTGGTCATTTTCGAAAATTTGCATCGCCAGTAAAACTACACGCGCTCGCACGAGCGAATCCCTCGTCCGTCGAGAATCCCCTCCTCGGTAAACAATACAGCGTCGCGTGGCATGTTGCAAGTTAGAACAGGTTAGAAACGCTTCCCGAAGTAGGCTGAACTTTTTGCACTTTTCGTCTGCCTTTTTTTCCAACAATAGGTTTGTTTATCCGGATTGTTTGAAATCTCCAGAACTTTTGCACTTAAAACGAGATAAATATATATTCGGACGTTGAAAAGAGAGAAAGCGAAGATGTTGAGTGCAAAAAGTGCAAACGTCAAAGAATCTCTCCGACAATGTGAATGGATCTCGTGTACTTTTCACTTTAAATGCAATACGGCTCAGCAGAAAGCAGCAGAATCTTGGTGTGAATGGACCTTAAGAATTAGCTGAACGTAGCATTTCAAACGATCTTAAATAATATTGTTTTCACTGGAAGATTTTCCTTTATTTGGAAGATTTGAAAACCTAAATTCTCGGAAGATCGAGAAGATTTTTGAAAATGAATGAAAATAGAAGGTTTTTTTTTACTAATGCAAATTATACAAAATACATATCTCTATTCGATGAGAGGAAATTATCGATCTACGATTCGAAATTTTATTTGACTATAATCTAATATGGTGTCTAAAATAGAACTCGTAACGATCGTAGGAAATTAACATCTCGAGTCGCAGACAATTGATTAATTATAGTCGATTATTCTTCTCATTGTTATTCTGGAATGTTGTTTAATAATCGAATGGTCGACTACAATTATTTAATTTTCTAAGATCTTACGATTATTACTTCTAACCCCGAGTTAAATCTAAATAAGTATATGTAATCAAGTATGATAATGTATGATAATTAAAATCATAAATAAATGGAATTTGATCTCTTACATTTTTTTGTACGACTATAAATGATTTCGACGATATAATAATTTGAATGTTCGCATGAGCAACATTTTTTATAAATTTCTACAACTTACAAGCATAAATATAACTTCACAAAACAAATCTCAAATTTTTTTTGCGTCTCATATTTTTATCTGTAGAATGTCAGCAAATTTAAAAAAAAATTAAAAATGACGATGTTTTAAAAGTGCCCGGCGAATACCTTAGGTATAGTTCGCTCCATAGGAGATTTTGATAATGTATCTTTAAACAAGGTGAAAATTAGAAAGTTATTAGAAATTAGTGAGTTCACTAGATGTTGATCGATGAAATTATAAATATGCTAATAATTTTGCTTGTTATTGTAATTTTCACCTCATTTCAAAATACACAATTGATCCTCATGCCTGGGACAGGTACGACCTGTATTTCCTTTATGGTTACTAGTAGAAGGTTTCACCACGCCATTGAAGGATTTTCGTGCATGCGCGGAGATTTTTCAGTGACCTGGGGATCGATTCTGTATCTTGAAACGGTGAAAATTACAAAAGTGAGCGAATTTACTAGAATACTGATAATTTTATTGGTCAACACCTAGTAAATTTGCTCATTTTTGTAATTTTCACCTTGTTTGAAGATACAAAATCGACCTCCTAATGGAACAACATTGATCTTAAGAATTTAATCACCAGGGTCTCCAGCGACTCCGATTGTCTCTGTTTGATCTCTCATTTGCCTTCACCCCATCAATTAACTTTATATATTCATAGCCTCATCATCCCATGTGATTAATGCAAGACGATGTAACGATTAGCATACGATGAGTAAGGTTTTTTCTCTGTTTAATTGATTCAATAGTCAAAGTGCGAAGTAGAAAACTGAAGTGGGAAATAGAAGTAAAAGTGCGCATGTTGCTGTAGATTTTTATAAATTACAGAGGTAAATGGTGATAAGAGGTGATAAGTTGTCACTGATAACAGACTGTGATTTCTGTTGCCATTAGGTTGCTATGATAAAATGTCCAACACGCTCACTCCATTTGTATATTGGGCTCAGACAGAGAGTCAAGTTACACTGAAGGTAGACTTGACTGATGTAAAGGTACGTTATGTACATCTGAAAGGACATACAAGACCTTTATACTCGTAAGTGTAAAGTTTTGATTGCGTTATCAATATAAATTAATTATACACCTTATTTTGCAGGATCTTAATGTCAATCTAAAAGAAACTACATTGCAAGTTACAGTCTATGGACATGGAGCCAGAGGAGTGAACAGTTATAGCTTTGATTTAAATCTTTACTCACCTATCGATCCAAATGTAAGTTAACAACAAGTTTAAATTATCTTTATTTCTATTTGATGCAATTATATTAAAGAAAACTTGTATGAAATGTTTATCCCAGGAAAGTAATTACAAGGTAATTGATCGTGAGGTGAACTTTGTTTTGAGAAAGAAATGTAATGGCTGGTGGCCGAGATTGATAAGTCAACCACAGAAGCCCTCGTGGCTTAAGATTGATTTTGATAAATGGAAAAGCGAAGACATGGACGACAATGAAGATGAGAAGCGTAATATTCTCAACGATTATCCTGATATGTATGATAAATTGCACAAAGAAGAATTAGGATATAGAAAAGGTAAAAACAAATTAATGTCACTGGCTTAGTTTACATCGTGCACTTGATAGAAGTACTAACCAGTAACTTTCTATTGAATTATCTTAATTTCGGCGATACGTGTGAACATATACAGGGTTGGCCATATTCGACGGAAAGACCTTGAACCTTATTAAATGATTTTTAAAATGAACAGCAAAAAATGTGTTTTTTTCCCATGATTGAAAAAAAAACATCTTTCCGTCGAATATGGCCAACCCTGTACATGTGATGTGTATTTAATTAATCATTTTGATGTATATTGTATCAATTTAGTACAACATTCTTTGAATCACATCACTGAAACTAAAATAATTTAATAGAAAGTTAGTGTATGTATCAAGTGCATGATGTAAACTAGACTATTAATAATATTACAAGATTAATATGTCATATCTTGTGCTTTCAGAGGACTTTGCGAAGGTATATCTAGTCATATATAATCTCTGTCAATTTGTTGGTTTTATTTATGTGTTTGCTGTAATGGCTATAAGATATTCCCGCGACGGACCAGGTATTTATATATACCTTATTACTTTTATATGAGGAATAAGCTCTAGAAATTTTATTGAATTCATTCCCCTAACTCTTCATGTTGAAACCTATAGCAGTAATCTTGTTGAAACTTATAGCAGTAATCTTGTTTCTTAGAAATGTTTTGTTAACGCAACAGATCTTTGCAGATTCCATGAAAGAAACATATGATGCAGTTGGCAATCCACTCAAATTTATACAACTGTTACAATTTTTGGAGGTAATGCATCCTCTATTCGGATATACGAAGAACAGCATACTAGTATCTTTCTTACAAACAGGAGGTAGAGCATTCATACTGTTCTTCATGATCGACGCTGAGCCTCGTATGCAAACCAAACCAGTCATTTTCTATCTGTTTCTGATATGGAGCACGGTAGAAATAATCAGATATCCGTATTACATCATGCAATTGTTGAACATTCAAATAGCCTTCCTAACGTGGCTGAGATACACAATATGGATACCGTTGTACCCGCTCGGCTTCGTATGCGAGGGTATTATAATGCTACGAGATATTCCGTACTTTGAGGAAACTCAGAAGTTCACGATTTTTTTGCCAAACAGTTATAATTTTGCTCTTCACTTCCCGTCTCTAATAAGATTTTATTTACTCTTCTTATTCATGCCTGGAATATATACGCTAATGTCTCGTATGAATCAGCTGCGCTTCAGAAAACTTAACAATAAGTCTAATATTAAAAAGAAGTACAACTGATTTCGGATAATCTTCAGGCTTATTCCTCTTTTTATCTATAATCTCACTTGTGCAGAAGATGTAGGCAATAAAAAAAACGAGGTGCATAGAAGGCATAATAAGCTCTGTTTAGCATATACTTTTTTATAATAATGTAATTTTGTATAGATGTTTATATCGCTTCCAAGGGTAAATATTTCAAGAATATAATTTAAATGTTATTTTATTTAAAGATTGCAATTTTATTTTGTTATTTAGTATATTAATAATTAAATACTACGTAATGAATAGAATATATAATAGTATACAGTGTGCAATATATTTTTATTTTGTGTATATACTGTTATAATAAGAACAAAGAAAATTTGCGATATAGATCATTACCAACGATTAAACAATATAAACATTCGATTGTATTTCGTGTTACAAACAGTGTTACTAAAATTTGATTTTTTTAAATATCTATATAAGTATTTATATAAGTGGATATCTTAAATATAAACCTATATATGAGAGAATAAAATAAATCATGTAAGTAGGACAAGTGTGATTAAATTTTGTTTTTTTGGATCTCTATGTTTGTAATAACAAAAATATACAATAGATATACAAATCGTAAACATACATCTAATTATAAATTAATTATGCAAAATATTATTAATTGCTATTATATGTATATTGCAGCAAAATTTGAAAAGTGCTAAAAAAAATATGATTTACGATTCTTGTCGCATTAATACAGTATAGACGATATAAAGGTTTGCTTATTAGTATTTTAAAATTATATAAATATATACATATACCTATTTCATTTTAAGTTCCAAAAGTGTACACTAATTTAGCTCTATAAAAAAGACTTTATAATAATATTAGTATAATTTTAAAATAATAATAAACAAATTTTATATTGTCTGTATTAATAGAGTAAGCGTTAATCATATCAATAAATACTAATAAATCGTAAAATAATCAATAATATGTTGTTAATTTATGATCTTATTCCAGCCTCCTAAAAAAAGTAATATTTAACTTTAATCTTTAAAAATATTTTCATTGAATACAGATGATCATCGTCGTGATATTTATCTTGATATTTTTATATTATTATACTATTATAAGACAATGCGGGTGATGGTGGGATTTTTTAAATCTACGAAGTAGATAATATAAATATATCAAGATAAATATCACGATGTATTCAATGAAAATATTTTTAAAGATTGAAGTTATTACCCAATCAGAAATGATGATGGAATCGACGTCGATTCGATGTCGATTCCATTATCATTTCTGATTGAGGAAGAGTTCTCAAGTTCAATTTTAAAATTTTAAGTGGAAATTTCCACTTTTTATAACACCTTGAACAATGTTAATGTGAACAGTGTCTGAATTTTGTCAACTTGTCAACTTTGTCAATCTGTTTTCTGTGGTTGAACTACATTTTTGGAACTTAGCCCGGATCTATAATAGATTTTTAAGCCTTAAGTTATAATGGAATGAACGAATCACAATTAATTATTCTTCTCGCATTCAACTGTAATTGGTCAATTTCTTAAAGCTTAAAATATCTATTCGAATTAGATTCGAACTTAAACTAAAAAGAATACATAATCCGATATATCGCTATATACCTGAATACGCTGTTTTTGATAGGTTGAAATCATTATTCTTTATTCCTAATTCCTTATTCCTTGTATTATAATTTTTATGTAATAATTTTTTAATCATATTTTATTTTCCCAGCATTTTTTCAAATTCTGCTATTTGATATTTAGCTAAAATGAGAATAAAATAATTTATTTACTGAAATAGATCTATATTAATACTTAAATAAAAAACAGTTGAAAATGTTACAAAAAAATGTTGAATTGCAAAGTTGACGAAGTCTGTTATTTTTAGTTTATACAGTTCATCTTTTTTTTCCAGTGTAAAAAAGAAGGAAGAATTGTGCGAGAAGCTAAAAAAGAGATTTATTGATAATTTGAATTTTGTTTCAAAGAAAGATATCGATATTGTTGATCGGTCGATATTACTCTTTTATCGATATATCGTTATTAGCGACTATTTTCAATCCCTTGACAAAGAAATTTTTGGTTAGGAAACAAGCATGGTAAACACGCTGTCTGCAACCAGATGCATGCGATTTGTCATTTGTGTTTGATCGATCTAATGAAATTTAATTTCAACGTGCGTGACTTTATTCCAAATTTATGCGACGCGACGTTTAATTTATTCGCATTTCAGATCATTTTGTTATGATCCGATTTAATGCGGCCAGATGAGTTTTATAGCCAACGGGTATTTGGAACTCGTAATGTTGTGATGTGACGTAAGTTAAATTTTCGGGACTCAAATCGTCGCAAACATTATAAAAATGTATCCAGTTGATCTGACAAAGACAATTCCACCGGCGACTGCCGATCAGAAAGTGTTCCTGAGCGACGCCGATCTTGACAAGATCGCTCTGTTTCTCGTTGGTAATCAGCAACGCTTCAGAGAAAATATTATAATCCCCAGAATGCTGGGACCTGTACAGATAAAGACTATCGAGGAAAAGAGAATAGATAGCGTGATGGAAAGCTGTGCTTTTAAGAGCATTATGAGTTGTGTTCTAGGTATACTTTTTCATCATTCCTTTCTATGAACAAATATCAAAATATCATTACAAATTATAGATATGTAATCCTTTGCAGATTTATATGTCAAATAAGGGTCTACCTAGATAAGCTTGTATAGCTTACATAACCATTCAATAAACATCAACTAACAGTAACATAATGGATGCTTTCTAGCAAGAGACACAGATAATACAGTCAGCCATTGTATCTTCATTGTTTGCTAATGTTAAATAAAGATGAAATGATCACTATATTATACTGTATCTCTTGCTAGAAAGCACCAGTAATATCAGTGTTATAATTTCCTTAACAATGTAATTATTATGTTCGTGTGTTACATTACATTTATATTGTTGAATAAAAAATTATAATATTGATGAGTTACTGTTAGTATTTACTGGACATAAAGAAAATGATCTAATTTAATTTCATGTGCAACCTTATCATAGAAATTGGATAATTTTCTTTATGCAATTATGCAAGTTTTGAATAGCTTCTTTAGACCTGATTCCAAAGTAAGATTTTAAATTCCGGTTTAACTTACTGTTTATTTTTTCCTAATTTTTATAATTGGAAAAAAAATCTTTATTATTTACAAAAATTTATAGGATATTCTAAAAATAATATCCATAAAAATTATATAATATATTTAATTGTATTTTTGAAATCTTTACAGATTTCTCCTAATAATAAAGATTTTTTAATTCATTTATCTGTGAGAAATAATTTAGACTGCAAAGAATGAGATTACAATGATCAAAATTATATCATGCTAATTGAAATATTCGTCTTTTAGGATATGGTTTGGGAGCAGCTATTGGATTATTTTCTTCCAGCGTGAATCCCAACGTAGCGAGCGTTGAGAGGCAACAGAGCGCACGAGAGATATTAAAGGAAATGAAAATCACGACTCTCAGCTATGCGAAGAATTTCGCGGTTGTCGGATGCATATTCTCCGCTATCGAGTGCACAATAGAATCGGTAATGCTCCAGATATGCGCGTTAGAAATCTTATTTTTAGATATAATAATCTGCTCGCAACATATTGTTAAACGTTGTCTTGATTTCAGTATAGAGGTAAAACTGACTGGAAAAATGGCACGTATGCAGGCGGTTTGACAGGCGGATTAATTGGCTTAAGAGGTATTTATAATGTCTTCGTGCATTATAATTATTAATGTTTTTGAATTTACTTATTTAATCTTATTCCTTGCAGCTGGTATAAAAGCGGGCATAGTCGGTGCCGCAGGCTTTGCAGCATTCTCAACGGCGATAGATTATTACATGCATAGATCTTAGATTGCATAGCACAAATTGTTAAAAGATATATATATATTTGTATAAAAGAGATATAAAAATTTATCTAATTACGTATCTATACAATTCCTGTATAAAAACATGGAAATGTTTGTAGTGTAAATATGCTTGTAAAACTAGTATCGTGTGACTGAATTAAAAGCGTAAAATATATTGCCTTTTTTAATTAATTTACCATCTAATATTTATCCAATTTCACGTTCGAAATTCTCTTTCTTATATGTAATCACATTTTTATGTTTCGTTGTATGAAACAATTCACACAAAGAGATGTTCGTATGTGATACACGTAGAAAATTCCTAAATCTGTAGTCACATTTATCTTAAACATTATGTTTTTACTTTTATCATGTATGACGAATAATATTTAGGAATATTTAGGAATACATTTATCGTATATATGTTTCGTGAACTACATGCGTAAGAAGACTTAAGACAAAGAAGTTATGAGAGAATGGCCAATCATAAAAAAAATATATATATAATGTTATAAATACATTTAAAATTAACTTTGGATTGATATTGGTCTCTCTTTTAAAAAATGATATGGCACATTCATACTTCTTTGCTTCTAAATTGCTTAACATTAATAATTATATGCAATTGCCTTTAGATAATCTGACGCGATCAGTCTGATGTTTTTACGAGGATTGCATCAACCTTTTAAAATTTTTTATATTTGTCCTACATGAATTCAATATAAGATTCTTTATTCAATCAGCAATATAAGTTTTACCTATAACTTATTATTATGAATATATTGCCCAATTATGGAAGCGATTCTTTTAATATAAATGAAGTGTTTATAACAAATTGTTTGCATAATTGTATACGAAAAAGTTTGCATTTTTAACATATGTTGATATTCTACTGTGATAGTGAGATAGATAAAAATTGCAAGGCACTTCTTTTCATAATTTTTTCTATTGTATGATTATCTGAGATAAAATTCCTATATTTTATATTCCTGTATATAAGATATTTAATATTTTCTTTTGATAAAGGATGCTGCGTGAACAGCTGAGCTATACCGTGTTTTTAAATTAGAAGTTATTAGACGTTAGTTTATGTGAGATATCTGCTTTTGTAATTTTGTTTTATTGGTCTCGTTTTATTTATGCAATAAAACCTTATCTTTATATTCTTATTATGTCTATGCAAAATGCACGATACGAGTAAAACATTCGATAATTTGTCAATAATTAAGACATCACATGAGAAACTGTCGAATCAAAGACAAATACATTTCTTTGTCAAAAAAAAAAAATGAATCCAAATAAAATTTCTAGTAAGTACTCGCACAGTAAAATCTTCGAAATAGGACGATTCGAATAAGTTTTGTTAAAAAAGAAACAAGCTACTTAAGTGCCTTACCTGTAAACTTTGAATATGCAAACATTTGTTTCATACTGTCACAATTTCAGACTGATTTTATTAATCTGCTCGTTCTGGACTGGCATTGGATGTCGCAACAGAGCCGTCGAGTCCTCACATCGGCAATCAAAAGTTAATACTATGTAGAAACATTAGTATTTTTATATTCTTATATGCCTATAAAATGCGTGGCGCATATCAAAATGAGATTTCTCTAATAAAAAACGAGCTTAGAAAAATATTGCGGTCGAAATCAAGACCCTAATCGTGTGAGTCACTAATAAAAAAAGTTTTATAAATCATTTTGGCACTCGCGTAACAATGAGGAGTCGTTTCCTTCATTTCATACGTCAGTACACAAACGCATATTCGATCAAGGTTGCTGTTGTTGCATTTGCGCTTGCATCACAGCCAGCAATTCTTGCATGTGTCGTATTTCTGCTTCCTTCTCTTGCAAAATGCGATCCTTCTCTGACACAGTGCTGTTCTTGTCGGGTTCTGTGATACTGCAAAGAAAGAAATGAAAGTCGAAGTAACACTCAAAAATACAATATCATAAAATGAAATATTTGTACTCACGTTGTTTGACGTCGGGGCGGCACTGGAGCTCCCTTTGCCAATCTTTCGCTACGGTAATTCTCATAATGTACTTCTTGCGTTACCTCCTGTAAATCTTGCATATGCGTGCTATAAAAAAAATATATATCAATAATGTATATCAACATAAACATCATAATAAAATAAATATCATAATAAAACAACAACTTACATCAGCATTGTCCTCAATTTGATAAAATCGCAATGATCCGGATTCTCTACTTCGACAACACCCCATGGATACAGTCGACCACGTACTCTCTTTCCTTTGACCTCAAGCAAGGTATTTGCACCACACACTGCGAATGGGACAGCTTCTTTCAATTGACGTACTTGTTCCTTGTAATCCTCATCCTCGTCACTATCACAGTCCGGTAAAGGATATATTTTGATTCCATTGCCTTCAATCTCCTCCATAACTCTTTTTTTCAGGCGCAAGACTTCTTTTTTGGTAAGTACATCAGCTTTCGCTATTACAGGTACTATATTAACTTTATTATGAAGTTGCTTCATAAACTCGATATCCAATGGCTTCAACCTGATCAACAAGAGGGAAAAGAAGAATCGATTATATTATTTGCTTCACATTTTATTAGGTGTTGGAATTAATTCGTAGCGTTTTTAATGAAAGAATGTTATTTATTTCACATGAGCATTAAAAAATACATTAATGAAAGTACTTCCCATCACTTGTAAAACGCTACGAATTAATTCCAACACCTAATAACTCTAAATAATTACTTTAATTTTAACAATATGTACCCATGGCCAAATGGAGAGATGAAATAGAAACAACAATGTATTCTATTATCTACGATATTCCTCCTGTTTAGACCACTTTCGTCACGAAGAAATCTCTCAAACTGATCATCTATATATTGAATAATAGCTCGGAAACTATCCGTGTTATCAATTGCATCTCCATAACCAGGTGTATCGACAACTGTTAATCTAAGTTTCACGCCCCTTTCTTCAATCTCAACCGTTGAAGCATCAAGTTTAACAGTTTGATTTGTTTTCTCTATTCATAAAAGATATTTCACAAATAGATATTTTAATTACATAGAAATTTGTAAAAATCACACGTTTGCATGTCACATGTGTGAAATAAAGTAAATAAAAATAATAAATAAAATTACCGACTGCATCAGGAATTATTCGCTCGGGGTACAAATCTGTGAGAAACAAACTGTTTACCAAGGTGGACTTTCCGAGACCAGATTCTCCCACAACCATAAGTGTGAATTCAAAGCCTTTCTTCACAGATTTCCGATGCACTTGATTCGGCAAATTTGCGAAGCCCACATACCCAGGTGTCTCCAGGCTCGCAAACTGGAAAAGAATGTTCCAGAATTATTTACAGTATCTTTAGAAGTATCTTTAAAAGATTTGTTTCTTTGATATCCATTTTTACCAATATAGATTAATTTTAATTTTGAATCCTATTCACTCTTCAGTTTTTTCTAATTCTAAAAATTACAAAAAGACAAAGAATAAGTCAACCCAAGATTAAAATTAATTTACATTAGAAAACAGCAGTTTTGCTAATGCCTAACCATTTGTAAGCTACTATAGCCTATTGTATCATATTTTATGCTTATCTTACTCTGTTAACATATAGTCTTTTTCAGAGTTTTGCAATAAACTAAATTAAATTAAATTAAATTAAAAACTGAATTAATTGTCGTTAACTGAATTTATTTTGCAGCATTCATCTTTCTTTCCTTTCTGTCCACGTTCGAAAAAAAAGTATTGAAAGATTTGTTATTGTTAATAAATGTAATTACACTCTACCATTCAATGTTGGCTCTCAAATTGAAATTCAAATTAATTTTGTTAGATTTACTTATTACAGCCTACATTTCCAATTTTGTTATTACGAATAATTACCATGAATCCAGCGATCAATACTTTTCATTTACCAACTTTTTTTCATATGCAAGACTTAATTAAGTCTAATGGCAGGCATTACGATTCATGTGATAGGCGGAGGCACTTACCGTTTTCACGCTCTCGCTTGACATTTCGGACGCGTGAATCCGTAAACAAGCTCTGTATCTCTACCGAAGGTCGCGGTCAATTCTAGACCGCTATTTCTAGACCGACACGGCCGTGAGTGAAAATGTGTGGCAAGACGCGGCGGCAGAACGCACGGATACGCGTCAATACGCGTGCACGATGGGGAAACAGGTTACTTCGATTTCAATCGTATCCGACTTCGAACCGCATTGTTGAACTCAATATCACTCGATACGTGGCACGTTTCGCCGCGATTTAATCAGCTACGGTAGCTGCTGAAAGCGTCGCGTGGTCGCACCGTGTCCAGGCACGACGGCGAGTCGGGAAAGTCTCGAGGGCGGTGCAGTGCAGATTGTACAGGATATCGCGTTGTGGGATAGGAAGGGAGGGGAGACACGATGAATCGAGTTGAGGCGTGGCAACCGAACAGCTGAACGGCATTCCATTACGTTCTCCCAAAAAGTCACGTTGCGATCTTGTATATCGACCAGAGTGGTCCACGGTGATGTATCGACATTAGCAAAAACTATCAATTAAATTAAAATATATATATGTATGTACAATTTGTAATAATGATGAATCAATAAATCTCATACATACACACTACACAAAAAAAATTGTTTTACTCTTTAACATATTATTTATATTTATTATATTTAAGCACACAAAAAAATTCAATGTAAATTTTATATATTTATTATTTATTATTTATATCTGTTATTTAATATATCTGTTATTTAAGCAGACGGAATTCAATAAAGAGATACAAGGCGCGTTTACAAAATGTTAGGAATATGCATTGCATATTATTCACAAACATCTCGCTTATTTACTTTACTGTAACTGATTTCACATACTCTAATAGTCTAATATACTGCACAGATACGAGGCAAACAGCTACTTTATTCAGGAAATATTATCATATACAAGCATTGTTTTACATAATATTTATTATTATTTCGAGGTTTCATTTTTTATTTTATTTGCTATTCTCACGACGTTTCTCGCAATTCCTCAACGTCACTGTTAGCACTGGTTAATTTATTACATAATTATTAATATATAATAATCGGCGCATTCCCTTTATTCGCTCCCCGCAATGTAGAAATTTGTTGAATCACTCGCATGTTATACTTCACAATTCTTCATCATTCTGGTCGATTGGAAAAAAAAGAATGTTTAATAATATTAAACAATTGTATGCTATTATCGTAACGAACGTATGCCTTAACGAACGATTGATACACAATGATCAGCGTTGTACGGTATAACGTAAAAATTCTATGGAAGGAAACGAAACTTAGTGTAGTCGCCACTTTCCTTTGTACTTCTTTAAACCCGGGCTTAGTCTCAAGTACAGATAAGAAATACTAGCGTTAAGATGAAATATACATGCTGTGACATTTTATATTTGTGATAGTTTGTACATGTATCCTCAGTATTATTACAGACACAAAACTCAACATTAAATTGACACGAGTATTAAAATGTACTCAACTGCGTAGCATCTTAACAATCATTTATGTATATAAATCGCTATCACTATTGGAGCATGCATTTGTGCATACACATTTTTCTCTTTATGTATATTGTAGTTACAAGTACTCTATTTTCATTGAGAATCGAGAAGTTAATTTATAAATACAAAAGATATTAGAAGAAAAAAGATATTTATTCTTGATTAAAAATGCGCAAAGAAAAATCTTAGAATTGTAATAGATTTATGTCTGTAGTGTATATATATATATATAAATATATATATATATACATCCTTTGCGGGTGACACCCCTTGTAAGAATTAAAAACAAAAGGGTATTTCCTGATTGTGAATGTTCGAAGAATCACCACTAGATTTTTAGGAAACTATGAGGGAATCTTAGATCGATTTTAAAATTTTGTGTCAACAATGTTTCTTTCTCCAATTTCCTCGGGGAAATCTGAGACTATTGATATCGTTAATTTTACTTGTCCAGCTGCATTTTCAATTTTTCTTCTCGAGGCTTTGCACCTCCATAAATGGAACTTGTTTTACTTGATTCCGCAATTGAATTCACAGGCTCTTTAACAGTCCTTGGCTGGAGCTCCAAACGTTTTCTTCCAGTAGTGTCTAAAGTAGAAAAAAGTGCTAAAAATTAAATATGTATAATATATTACTTAATGTATATACACTTATTCTCGAGATTCTAAATAATTTAGAGATAGAATAATTGTTTTATTAAATAAGAAATTCGATTTTCGGTCATTCTACAAATATCAGAAAGAATTTTTTTAAGTAGAAAAATGTTCTTCTGTGACAAGAAATAAATTTAAAAAACATAGATCCAAAGTTATTTTGTGTGGTTCTTTATTTCGAATAAAGCTTATATCTTCAATATAATAGAAATATAATAAAAATATAGTTTTTGGATATCATTGTTATAAATTCGTATAAAAAATATGTAAATTATAGAAATGTTCTTATAAAATAATATGTGATTCCATGTAAAAGCAGACTTATAATCGACAAATTTCAGATTCGATTCCGATTTTTATTCCATGCTTGTATGCTTTAAAAGACTGATTATGGAGTTAAAAGTTAGTTTTAAGTTAAGTATCAAGTGATATAGTATAAAATCCATTTTGGGAACAATAAACTACAATACATTAAATAAAAAACAAATTAATAACATATACACAAATATATATTCTCTTCTAGAATTTCTATTGTAGTGAGGAGCACAATATTATAATTTAATAAAAATCCTAGAAGAGAATTAAAATATGTATTTATACATTACTTTATTTTTTATTGTATTTAATGTAATATAGTTTATTAGTTTAGTGTTCCTAAATGAGTTATATATGCATATATATATATATATATATATATATATATAAATACACTAATATCAAGAGACAATGTCTCGTGCCAAGTTGTATACATACCTGGGGGAGGAGCATCTTTGTTATAAGGGTCATCTGGGAAAGGTTTTCGGTCTGAACCACTTCCCCGAAGTGGAGGTTTATTAGTGTATGACCTGCTAGACGTACTTCGCGACCAATCACGATTTCCACCTGTGTCGTCGTTGAATTGGCCGTAATTGCCTCTATTACTTCTAGAATCCCATCTATCGTTACCTTGCCTACTACCTCCATGTGGGCCTCTATCACTGTATCCTGTGAATAAACGTTAAGAAACTTTATCGCCAATATTTATAGCAAATTAAACATTTATGATAGAGAGAAAATTAGTTCAGCATTATAAGCATTAGTATTGTTAGTATATAAATACAAAATTTACATTGCATTCTATTATTATCAAATATAAAAGCGTATAGTGTTTACTTGAATATGAGGATTTACTATCAAAATCGTCGCCGTATCCACTACGGCCGGAATCTCGTCCTTTGAATCCACTTCCACTGCTACTGCCCCCACGACCTCTCCTATCGAAGCCACCACCACGGTCATTTCTTTTTCCTTCTGCTACGTCGATCTTGATCAAACACTTGTCTACTTCTACCGCTCCGTCCATTTCCAATGCTGCCTCCAGATCAGCCAAGTCTTCAAACTCGACATAGCAGAAGCCCTTAAATCTATAAATACAAAAAAAATTTTTTTTAATCAATCGATATATACAGTTTTGCCTCTCCAATCCAATTAATACATACTTATCGGTGTCCCTATCTTTAACCAATCTGATGACTTTGACATTAAGCTTCTCAAAGATTTTGTCAACGTCACCTTGTACAATTCCATTCGGTAAATTTCCCACATACGCAGTATATGGTGGTTCAGTTGGTAAAGGTTTTCTACTTCGATGAGTTGGATAATCTCTGAATAAAGAAAAACATCTTGACAGCTATTTATCTTCATAAATATAAAATATATTAAATTATTGGGGCTAGAGAAAGCAGATTTGTAACTGATATAAAATTCTTTAATATGATTAGTCTTATCATTTATTTCTCACTAGATTTAAACATATTTAAACTAATGGTATTAAAGAATTTTACAATTAAAAAATTACTTTCTCTATTGAACACATTTTATTACTATTGTTTGTTATTTTGAAATACTATGTACATACGTTTATAAATCATTACGTCCAATTGCAAGGTAGTTGTATAGATATTTCTACATCTTTTTCATTCATATGTTATTAGCTATGTTAAATTCTCTGAAGAAAAGACTTTTCATCTCTCCCAATAAAGTCAAATATTATTATAAATATACATTAAAATAAATCTGTATCAACGGCATTCGACTGCTCTCTAAAATCGCAGATATATTCAAATGCTAATACATACGTTTTATAGCTGAATGGACTTATACTTAAAGTGAAGTAGATATGTTTGACATTTGACAAAAGCGAAAAGTTAAGTTCTAGTACAATCCAGTGCAACAATAAAACAAAACTATTATACAAAATACATAAAAAAAATTACAAATTTGTTCTGTTTCTTTTAATTATTTACACATTTCAGCCGAATGCATTTTCCAAGTGAGAAAGCTCGCCAATATCCATCTAGGCACGCGCGCGCGCGCGCGCACGCATATTGTGTATGTGTGAAGCGAGAAGAATGTTGTGTATCAAAGAAGCAGGTTGACATGAGACACGATAAACCGAACACGCGAACGCGACGGCGACGGAAAACGGAGTTTTCGATAGCACACTCGGGCACTTCATCAAGAAACGCGATGCCGCTGCACATCGCATAATCGCGCCTTGCTGTCGCGATCCTCCTTCCCTCTCTGTCTATCACTATCTCTCCTTCTCTCGTTTCCTCTCGCGGCGTGCACCGCACGTGCATCGTTCTCCGAGGACGGCTCCGCTTCGTCGCGTCGCGCCGCGTCGTCGATGTTCCGAGATCCGCGGATCCGGATGGGCCCGACCGGCCAAAATAAAGCCGCGTGTCGCGGCGCTTCGCAAGGTGTTGCGCTTGCACTCCCGTAACTCACTTAACCTTAAAACCGGGGAATATACGCGCAAGGAACGCACGCGTCCCGGACGGTTCGATCCGCGGCACGTGCGTCCCGAGGCCACGGTTACCCGTGACCCTCCCGGTGGCGTGACACGACCGCAAACACGGCCGATACTTGCCTTGAATCGTCGTAACCACCTCGACCTGCCATATTGAATGCACGGAACTGACCGGGACCGCGTGAGTCGATTCAATCACCGTGCGCGCGGCACCATCGCGCCTTAACACTCGACAATTTATCAACGTGATATCTTGGACGTACGCGCGTCACTTCGCTCGCCGGGTGAATTTATTTGAATAAAACGATGACACGGATGTGTAATGATACGCGATACGAAGAGTACTTCAAGATCTAACTCGAGAGTTCATTCGGACGCACACGGCAACTCGACCAATTGCGCGTTCGACATGAGTACGGCTTCCACGAGACTAGACGACGCGATTGGTCGACAACCGTTCGATACGTTTTTGGAAAGAATTCATTCATTTTTCAATGAATAACATAAGAAATAATTAACGAATTGTATATAAAACTTGAAAATTTTGCTTTGAATGTCAGTTTAATTAACAGCTGATTGAATTAATTGGAATTTAATAGATGTTAAGGCTGCAGCAGAGATTCTTGCATAAAGGTACCTTTTCATGCTGACGCTCGACACTCATTTTTGGCGTCAAAATAAGTCACGTGATTAAAAATTGACGAATATCAAGCGTCAATTTCGATCAAATGATTTATTACTGAAAATGAGCATCAGCATGAAAAAGTATTACATAAGCGGATCAACTAATCAGAATCTTTCCTTTCCTCCCATTCCATGAAAAAGAAGAATTTCGATTGGTTGATTCTCTAAAGGTACCTTTTCATGTCGACGCTCGACATTCATATTCGGCGGCAAAATAAGTCACGTGATAATAAGGTACATTTTTATGTGCTGCTAAAATAAGCGATTGGAGTGACAGATTTGTCACTCATTATCCAGGGGGTTGAAATTTTGTAGTTTGAACAATTTCAACTACAAGTGTCAAACGCTCAAACACTATTGACAGTGCTGACATATGGTTAGTTTATGCTTCGATCTTAATCCTAAAATCCTAAAATTCAGTCAATAGGACTGCCAGTCTTAATTGGTTCTAACTGTATTCCATTAGCTGAATTTTAGGATTTTAGGATTAAGATCAAAGCATAAACCAGACAATAATGACTGCGTTCAGCAGAACACAACAGTTTTGCAATTATTTTATGATTCTCTGCTGAGATTGGACCATTTCTTTTGATCTAAATGCATAATCCAATCAGCGCGCAGATAACTTCTAACAGTTACAAAACAAACGTTCTGCTGAACGCAGCCACTGTAACGACCGTGTTGACTGATATAATCTAATTTATTCTTTTTTTTATTGATGATCCAGATAGAGGATTCGATGCAATAAGAATAATTTAATAACTGTTTAATTCAGTGTATTAATATTGCAAATGATACATGAAAAATACGAACAACATATCGAATCTGTCGCTCAAACGTCAAATTGAACACTTCTTGCCCTTTTTCATGTATAAAATTGTCGCTCTAAGACCGGGTTCACACCTTGACGAAAAAGCAGAAAGCGGAAAAGTGAAAGTCAATCGGAACTCGCAGGCAGTACATTTTGCTTGTCTGCTTCTGTCCTTTTCGCGAGTTCTGATTGGCTTCCGCTTTTCCATTTTCCGTTTTTCCCTCAAGGTAAGAACACCTAATAGTTTTGACAAAAGTGAAATCATGTGATCTGTTTTGTCGCTGAAATGGTCAGTTTGAGCAGCTTGTGAAAATGCACCTATAGAAATTAACGAATATCAAGCATCAATTTTGATCAATTTTGATTAAAACGAATATGTTATAGCTATGTTATTACATCCATCAAACTGATCAAACCAATGATACAAGCAGAGAGAAGGGATTGTTCGTTTTTGTCTAATTCACGTAGTATAAAAAAAGATAAAACGTGAACATTATCCTACGAAGTTTAGTACACGAAAAAGGCCGGGATGTTCAATCTCATGTGAAGCAAAGTGAACTGTGAACTGTCAAATGAACAAAAACAACATTCGACATTTGGTGAATTTATAGGCAGGGATTTGCTGAATTTTTTTTTGACCCACGGTAACCCTGTCGGAAACAATTAGAAAGATCAAGATGTCTGCTGCCATGCACGTACCGCGCGACACGCACATGGCGGAGATGGTTTCGGATATGTCTGTACAGCCAAAGATGGGTAGAACTTATTCCAATATATTGGATAATTTTAATCAGCTGAAGGACAACAATCCATCCGTGAGATTAAATGGCGGAGTTGCGCTACTGAATTATATACATAATACGGTAAATTACATTACGTTAACAACTAAGCTGCCTTCCACTTAATACTCACAATGCTCCTGGAATCATTTCATCTTTGTCGTTTCGAACGTTAAACAAGAACAAGTGATGCTCGCGATCGTTGCGAGCATTAAGTGGAACGCAATTCCAAAAGCACAATGCCAAAGCTACATATATGAGGCAGGAATGGAATCAAATCCAGACCTGATTATAAGTCTGCAGGCTGAACAAAGAGTCATACAACGCCTGAAGTTTTAATTGATAGAAAAAGTTATAATTCTTAGAATTAGAAAAAGATAAAAAGTTAGTTAAATCGAGATTAAAGTTGAATCACATTGATAGAAACAAGTATTAAATTGTACATTAAGAAGAAAGATCTTTGTATGAAATACTTGACAAATTGTTACATCTTAATGTATGATCTATCTTTACAGGATCAGAATGACAAAGAATTGGATCTTGCTTTGGTCAAGATGGTTGCCAGATTGGGATCTTCGTTAACATCTACCAGAACAGGCTTCTACAGTACCTTGACAGTTTTTCTGATGACGCATCCTGATACTTCAGTAGAAAAACTTTTATCCATAATGAATACTCAGTTGCATCCAGCTGGCAGTAATCTTAAAAGCGTAAGACCTAAAATTTTATTTTTATTTTATTTTATAGAAATAATATTTAAAGAAATACTGAAATTTTTCTTTATAGGAGAATGCTGATATATATATGGGACGTATATTGCTCTGTGGTGCTGTGATTAGATCCAAGTTACTTGCTCGGAACAGTGTTGAGATGCAACAACAGATTATGGAGATTCTGTTAAATGCTGGCAAGAAACGTAGTTATTTATCATTCATTTCCACTATGTTTCTCAGTGAGTTTATTATTCAGCTTGATATTGAATCTATCAAGAATGTTTGGCCAATTGTTGAGAAAGAAATTGGCAAGCCATGGTCCGAACAAACTTTGGATACATTCTATATGCTGCTGATTCTTAGGGACAAACATCCTTCGTTAGTTAACCATAAATTTTTAAAGCAACACTTAGGTATGACTGAGATAATTACCAAGGAGTCTATAGAAGATATTGTTCGACTATTAACGGTTTGTACTTAGCAAGACTTGAATAATCTTTCCTGTGTATTTCTATCCCACAATAAATGTTTGTGTGTTAAAATAGATTTTTAAATCTATTATAATATTTTTTTTACTTTTTAGGCTTTACTTCGAATTGTCTCTTATCAACATCCAGTGTTTAAACTATTTTGTGAAAAATTGGTAGTGACCGAATTTGTGGCAGACTTTTGGAAAGGCATTGATCAGAAATTTATAAAACCATCAAAGAGTGATGAATACATTGCTGTAGAAATGTTACGACTAATACTTCTTAATGTTACGGATAAAACCGTAATTCCTTCGTTATTATCTCCAAATCTTCTGCAACACATGTTAAAGAGATTTTCGATTTGTAAGAAGAATAGAAATGATGAAGTATTGATGGCATTCAGGAAAGTTTTACATTTGGTAGTGTCTGCCACAAAAGACGAAGATATCAAGACAAAAACACAGCTGAGTATATTGAAGAAGTTAATATTGCATCCTGGTGACTTAATGATAGAAAAAAAGACAGGTGTTAAGGTGATTCAAATAATTATGGGAAACTTGAGGATAGACGGTATTAAGAAGTTGAGCCAATTATATAGAGAAATTACAGAAAATAAGGCGATTAAAGAAAGAGAAGGTACAAAGACGGAATTTTGGACAAATGCCGAGCGAAGTTACACAGCACAGCTACTAACAAAGTAAATATAATTAGTATTAATAGTGTAAATGATTTGATATAACGAACAGAGATTAAAATATTTTAATATTTCTTACTGCACTAAATATATTTCTTTCCATTAGATTAATGGGTCGTCCAGAAACATTCTTGGATCAAAACTGGAGACTTGAACAACTGATATTTTTATTTAATTATGGATTGTGTGAGGTGTCAGATGTTGGAATAGAACTAGCACGTAAGTATAAGCTACATGTATCTTTTAAATTATTGTGAGCTGAAATAAATTTAATTATTATTTTTAGAACAATTTAAAGATTCCTTTTATCGTGCTCTGGATTATAAATTACCAAAATTGGATAATGCACGAAACCTGTTAAGTGCACTTGTTCATAATTTAGATTCGAAACTGCAATCCAATATGATCAGATTACGATCGCCATTAAATGACGCAGCAGCCGATGCTTGGAAAAAAGTGACAGACTTGATCGAAAAACTAGAGAAAAATACAAAACATTCAGAAGCCTTACCGATATTTCATACGATGAATTTGCACATGGGTTTACAATTGTTCTCAGATCCTGAAATGGCAATTATGTCGATTAATGAACTTCAATGTTGTTATGAGAGATTAAGTAAAAAATCCAAGAAACATAAAAAGCTTAATAACACAGTTACTGAAGAAGAACCGGAATGGGTCGAAGTAGTAGTGGATCTTTTGTTATCTCTTTTATCCAAGAACGACCATTTATTCCGTTCATTAGTTGGTTGTGTATTTCCACACATCTGTTCGTACCTAACTCCATCTGCAGTCCATCAGATATTGGCCGTAAGCTTTTGTTTATATAATTTTTATAAGATTAATCTGTTTCTATATATAATTGAAAAGTATGGAATGTTTGAAAAAATTGTGTAAGTACACATGTTACACTTTATTTCAGGTATTAGATATTAAAAATACTCAAAAGACACTCACTACAAAGCAAAATGACGATGACGATTCCTCTGGTATAGAAAGCGAATCAGATAATGAGGAAGATGAAGAGGAGGAAAGTGTTTCAAATGACGAAGTTTTATCGAAAAGTGAATCTGAGTCTGACTCAAGTAAGAATGAGGACGAGGATGAGGATGAAACCATGACCGATAAATTGAGAATAGCGTTACATCAAGCTTTGGGTGATGCTGCAATGAAAACCGATGATGAGGATATCGACGTAGATGAAATAGATGAAGAAGAGG